CCATTTTTGGATTAAAATATTGGGGAAGCGGGAAAAGGATGTATATTGGTCCTCTCAATTTATCTGATAAAGACGACCCAAAAAAAAAATATTAGTCACGTAAATGGGGGATTACTTGTTTTGTGTATGTTTAGAAATTGCTGCCATGTGATTCCAGTTGAGAAAAGGGAAAACTATTAAAAGTGGGTTGTGTTGTTCAAATTTTGAAATTAAATAAATAGATTTATGAAGAAATCAAATTATATATATACTAAGAACACATGCTAATAATTACAACTAAATTTCAACAGAAATACACAAAACAATAAAAGGGTAAAAAGACGAAATCGAAGCCTGCACGGAAGTAGTTTCCTTAAAACAGATTTCGCTGCCTCACTGGTCGAGTGCTTGAGGAATCCCGACGTCTGTCTCCCAGGATACGACGGTCAAAACCAGCTACGACAGAAGCACTCTCTGTCTAGCTTAGCGAACAAAACAATGGCAGCACTCTCTCACTGTAGGAACTTTCAGGCAAACTGACTTGTGAAATGGAAGTAAAAATTTCTGTGTTTTGAGACTTGACAGGAGGGTCTCAATTTATACACGTATAGGGGAGAGAGGAAGAGCCTCCAGCCTTTATGGCTGTTCATAATGTACCATTAACCTCTACAATAAAGGCAGGAGTTACAAACCCCATTAATGCAGGAGTTACAAACCCCATTAATGAAGGAGTTACAAACTTCATTACCTTTTTTTCCATGAAGCTAACTTCATGAGGTAATTTCTCATTCAAATCTCAATGGTTTTTAGCCATTCTATCTGTGGTTTAAAGATCTCAATGCAAAGTATCTAGACCCACTTGGACCTAACACAATAGATGGTTGGGACCCACTTTAATCTTTAATTAAAGTCACCACACTTTAATATTAAATTAAAGTCTCCAAAAATCATTTTTTCCAACACTTATGAAATAGGGCTATAATGGGATTTACAAAGCAACACAACCAAGCCCTAGAAGAGATTATCAACATTTGTATTAATGGCTTGTTTGGAATTTAATTTTTTTAGTTATTTTTTAATTTTTATAAAAAAAAGTGTAAAAATATAAAAAGAGTGATTTAACAACATGTAATGTAATGGCTTTTTTTTTTTAAACTAAAAATATCTCTTTTCAGACATGAATTGAAAGTGTATTGGGTTGACCAAGTATGCTTATTCAGTTTGTTAGAAGCATTTTCCATTTGAACTTGATCATCTGAAGGAAAGATGGGCATATCTATTCAATCAGGAAATGATGGTCAATAAGATAGAAATTGAAATTTTTCCGTGCATTGTTTGTGTAATATTATTTTCGGGTTCATGGTAAAATTATTTCTATGCTGCTGAACTCATTTATTATTTGGTATTATCATGTCAGATCATTTTCGGTCTGTATCTAGTTATATCTAGTTATGTCAAATTTTGAACTTCAGTTAAAAATATCAAATGTATAAGAAAAAAAAAAAAAGAAGTTATCTTCACAAATTGAATTTAATAAAACTAATCTCTATTAAATAAAATTATTCATAAATTTCATTTCAACTCAATTTGATTTCCCTAAATTTTTTTTTTTAAAAAAAAAAACTATATTCTACTAGATTAACTTCAAAATAAAAGGGAAAAATATTATATTAGCATTATAATACGATTTTACATACTTTTTTTTAATGGGTTTTTTATTGATAAATCTCATTTAGAAGTGTTTTAACTCAAGAAGTTCATGAATGAATTTTTTAACTCACTTAATCCCATGTATTTATACTTTTATTCTATAAAGTCCCTTTTTTTTTTATTTATTTATATTATTTTCTTAGATTCTTATACCCTTATATTTAATATTGATAATGTAAACATTCTCTCTCATCTGATGTGAACGTTCACAACATCTTTCTAAATTTTTTTCTCTCATCTAATGTAGTGATGTGAGTATTCACAACATGTGAATCTTCTTATTTTTAATTGATAATACATTAAAATAACGTTCATTATATTTTTAATTGACAACACATTCTTATTCACAACATGTAACGATGTGAACATTCTCTCTCATCTGACATAGTGATATGAACGTTCACATTCGTATGTTTTAGTATGAATATTCACATCATGTAATTAACAACACAATGACAAAAATTTATTTCAAATTAATGCGAATATAATGATATGAATATTCATTTCAATTACATGATGTGAATATTCACATTATGTAATTTTTTTTTGATCGGCTAAAACAAAATCTTTATTGATGAAACATACAAAATATAAAAATTTACATCAATAAAGAGGAGCTTGGAGCTAAGAAGAAGCTCCAAGCGCTAGTTGGTGAGGCACCAACAAGAGAAAGCTGAAGAAAAAATAAAAGCATCAAACTGAAAGATAAAAGTAGACAAACAAACTAATAATAGACAAACTGATAATAGCAACTGTTCAGAGTCACCTACATCAAACCAAAGCAGAACAACCTAACTCCCAGCTCCCAACAGATCAATAGCCTTCCCAAAACTAACAAACCTCCAAAACTGAACAGATCACCCACACCATTCCTAGCTGAATAGAACACACCAACAGCAGGCAAAACAGAACAAACCTCCAGATAACAAAACAACACTCCCAGCTCCCAACAGAGCAAAACTGATAGTAGACAAACAACACTGCAGAACTGAACAACATTGCAACAGAGCACCAGACTACTAAACAGAATCCAGAGCACTAAACTCCACCCCTGATCTGTCTCCAATTGTAGACTAGATCATCAACTGAGTATGTGAATTCCTTAATGGAAGCTTTGAGCCAAATGGCAGATCTGAATTTTATAAGATCTAGCAGTCCTGAAGAAGAGGGTTGTGCATTAGAGAATACACAATCATTTCTGAGTTTCCAAATAGACCATAGTACAATTAAGGGGGTTGCTCTCCAGATTAATCGGTCAAAATTATAAAATTTCCAACTCATCCACCAATAAAGCAGACCATCTACAGACTTAGGAATACACCACTGGAGACCCCATTCCTCAATAACTACTGACCAGATTGACCAAGAGAAAGAGCAATGCAGCAGAACATGGGAAGCAGATTTTACCTCAGAGTTGCAAAAGTGGCAAAGGGGTGAAGCATTGCTGTCAAGAGAACCAATCTTGAGCAGAAAGTCAGAACATTTGATTCTAGATTTCCAGGCTAGCCAGGTGAAAAAAGAAACTCTGGAGGGCAATAATGAATTCCACACAAATTTGCTAACCTTGAGATGAGGGCCAAAGAGAGATGAGTGGTGAGAATAGAGAGCAGAAACAAAGAAGGTATGACCAGAATCAGTGCACCAGACTAAACAGTCTTCACAATCCAAACACAGAGATGGAGAAGAAGATAAGAGAGCATTCAATCTCACCTCTTTAGCCAATTCCCATGAATAAAGCTCTCTTCTATGGGGGAGATTCCAAACAGATGGACTTGACCTCCTTGCAAAATAATGATTGAGGGAACCTTTTTTATCAGATGGCAAATTAAAAAGGAGAGGAAAAAAATATTTCAAACAAAGGCCACCACATCATCTATCAAACCAAAATCTGATTCTGATACCATTCCTAACCTTGATACCATATTTGTCTACAAAGAAATTAAAGATAGGCCTATTGAAAGCCCCAATTGAGAGAATGTCTCTCCAGACTCTAGAATGCTTGTATGAGGGACTCAAGGGAGGGAGCCAATAGGAGTTGTTGATTTTATATTTGCTGAACACAATTGACCTCCAGAGAGCATTGGTTTGGATTCCAAACTTCCACCACCATTTGAGAAGGAGACAAACATTAGCATCTCTGACCCTTCTAATGCCTAGTCCCCCTTGATCAATTCTTTTTGTAACCTCCTCCCATTTCACTAAATGAACTTTCCTTTTAAGATCACTACTACCCCATAAAAAAGCAGCCTCTAATCTTTCTATTTCTTTAGCCACTCCTTCAGGCATTTTAAATAGCGAAAAGAAGTAAATAGGTAAGCTAGATAGAGTAGACTTGATTAAAGTTAATCTACCAGCAAAGGACAACAATTTTCTCTTCCAACCTGACAGTCTAGCCTTGATTTTTTCAATTACAGGCTTCCAAGTAGATTTCCTTCCAGGATTTGCTCCTAGAGGCAGCCCCAGAAATTTTAATGGAAGACTCTGTACCTTGCAATTGAGAAGAGAAGCAAAGGAGTTTAAACAACCTTCATCCACACCAACACCACATACAACACTCTTGTGGTAATTAATTTTGAGACCAGATAATACTTCAAAGCATCTGAGAACCCTTTTAATGGATACTAATTGATCACTATCAGCTTCACAAAAAAGAATTGAGTCATTGGCAAATTGCAAATGTGAGATAAGCACATTGTTAGACCCAACAACCACCCCTTTGAGAATGCCAAGATTGAGAGCTCTGACTAGAAGAATGTTAAGGCTTTCCGTCACAATGTTGAATAGAAAAGGTGAGAGCGGGTCTCCCTGTCTAAGACCCTTATGTGGTGAAAATTCCTCAGTTGGTGAGCTATTCACTAGAATGGAGATTCTAGCTGTAGAGACACATGTCTTCATCCAAGTGATCCATTTATCCCCTAAACCAAAACTGGCCATCAAAGAAAATAAGAATTCCCAGTTGACAGAATCGAAAGCTTTCTCGAAATCCAATTTGAGAATCAACCCTTGCTTTTTAGCCTTCTTCCAACCATCCACTACTTCATTAGCAATAAACACCCCATCCAGAATATTTCTCCCTCCCAAGAATGCTGTCTGTGTTTCACCAATGATTGAGGGGAGCACTGACTTTAATCTGAATGCTAAGACTTTGGCCAAGATTTTGTAAATAGATCCCATAAGACTAATAGGTCTATAGTCAGATAGACCAATAGGATTGTCCACCTTGGGAATTAGGGTGATAAATGAGCTATTGATGCCATATGCAAGCCTGTTGTTAGAGTGAAACTCCTCAAAAAATTGCATTATGTCCAGCTTCATAACCTTCTAGAATTTCTGATAACACAGTAGGTTGAACCCATCAGGGCCTGGAGCTTTGTTGTTGTTACAGTCTTTGATTGCTGCAAGTACCTCAGTGCACTGAACTCAACTACCAGATGTTGAGAGACATATTCCGGGTCAATGATGTTAAGTACCCCTGTCAAAGAAGGCCTCTTAACCCATGATTCAGAGAATTGGGCCTTAAAGTGAAGAAGAACTTGGTGCCTAACTCCAGTAGGATCCTCAATGGACACTCCATTTACTGAAATAGAGTTGATGAGATTTTCATTCTGCCGAGAACTTGCAACCACATGAAAAAATCTACTATTTTTATCCCCATTGATAGCCCAATTCAATATGGATTTTTGGTGCCAAATCCATTCTACCATTCTGTATAGCTTCCACAGCTCACCTTTAACCTCCCTTCTTCTTGCCTTTTCTGAAGCCAGTAGTGCTCTTTCCTCTACAGTGATATCCAGAGCATGTAGCTCTTCTTCTGAAGTTTTTATTTTAGAAGCCATATTGCCAAACACCTGAATGCTCCAAGATTTTAAGACTAGCTTCAGACGCTTTAACTTTTGGGAGAGTATGTACCCAGACCAGCCAGCAAAAGAGGAATCAGACCATGATGAGACAAATAGCTGAGCAAAGCTGGGATGAAGAGTCCACGCATTTAGGAACCTGAATGGCTTTGGCCCCCAATCTCTGGCATCTTCCATCATTAATAAAGGGTAGTGGTCTGAGATTAGCCTGGGTAAACCCCACAATTTCATTGAGAAATTAAGCATCCATTCAGGACTTAGTAAAATTCTATCAATTCTGCTCCATTTCTCTGATTCCTGGGCATTACACCATGTGTATCTCCTTCCATGAAGTGGTAAATCATGAAGCTCACTATTGCCAATGAATTCATTAAGATGTTTCATTCCCCTGTCTCTCCTAGAGCAACCAACTCTTTCAATTAACAACACAATGACAAAAATTCATTTCAAATTAATATGAATATAATGATAGTCAACATCTTGATGCATGGGAACTACCAAAACATAATGACCATTAACATTAAATATCAACATTAATAGGGGGTAGAAAAGATTGACGGTATTTTGGTCTTCTTACCTCAAATAGGACCTAATAGAATAGTCAAAAACAATATGGGTTGAATGGAATAAAACTCTTAAAAAAAGGATTTATCAAAAAAGCTCTATTTTTTAATCAATTGGATATAGAGTTACAATTTTTTTTAAAAAAAACATCACCCTTAATAAAAAAATAATATTAAAATATATACCCAATTATTTATTAAATGAATTATTTGCAAAATAATAATAAACAATAAAATACAACTAGCGTTCGAAAAATAAAATGCATATCAAAATACAATGTGAATGTACACAATTTATAATTAACATATATCTAGACTTAAAAAAACTAAACTCATACCAATGTGAACATTCACAGTACAACGTGAAACATGAAACAAAATTGAAAAAAATTAAAATCAACTATTCCAATTGTTCGATAGCAACAAAAATAATTGTTCAACCAATAAGTATAGTCACAGAAACAACAACCACATAACTAACCTTCAAAAAAATAAAATTAAAAATATACGAATAACCTTAAAAAAACCAAACTCATACCAATATAAACATTCACACTGCAATATGAAAACATGAAACAAAATTAAAAAAAAAAGAGTAAAAATCGACTATTCCGATTGTTTAATATCAACAAAAATGATCGACCAACAGGTATAATAACAAACAATATACAACTAATCATCAAACAATATAATAAAAAAAATCATCAAATAGTTTATTTATGTTAATGCACCTTTTTAGAAAACACATGTATATAATCAATGTCGGCATAATACTGGTGAATAAACTACACAATACCAGTGACTATACAAACCGACGAAGAAACTACGGTTTGTGTGTAATAATGGTAAAAAAACGATTATTCATCACCGGTTTACCATCATCTCTATTTCGAATCCACTATCATCTCTATCGTCGATTTACAACTAACCTTCTCTTCCAAATTTTCTTCCATGATAGGATCTTATTGCAAAAATAATGATGAAAGAAGATTTTTTGATTAAGTGAATCATTCACATTAAGGCAAAGAAAACTGTAAGGATAATAATCTTTTATATTTGATATACAATGTTTTATACATATCATAAATGAAATGTATCAAATGGAATACAAGTCCATCAAAATGAATTTTTTACTAAATTTCTCTATACAAATTCAACACTAATTTAACATATTTAAGGCTATGTTTGGCATAAAAAGCCTGGGTTAAAATAGCCACAAAAGACAAAATAGGCTAAAAAGTCAATAAGACAAAATGTCACATCCAAACCATAATCATTTCATTTTTTTTCTCTCACAAAAGTCAAAAAAGTCAAAAAGTCATGAGACTTTTTAGACCCATGCTAAAATAGCTAAAAAGCAAAAAAGTCAGAAAGCCAATCCACATCTGTAGCTTGCTTTTCATGTTCCTTTCAGATACGACTAGCTTTATGTAGACACCCCATTTTTGACCGCCCTTAAGACTTGAGCGCTTTATTCCAAACATCCGATGATGAAAGTTATATTGTGCAATCTTTTGAATTCTCAGCGAAGAAATTTGGATTTAAGCTCTAATTCCAAACCATGCACCCCATTTTGACCAAACTATTTTAGACCTTAAAACCCTCTCTTTCAAAATATTTTTTCAAATGTTTCTACAATGTTCTGAGATTCGCATTTTGTTTAAATATTGCACTTTTCGATAAACCGAGTAAGGATAAAGTGGAAATAAATGGAAGAGATGTGAACTCTTTCAAAAATGTTTTAAAACAATTATTTATAGGTTTGGAGTTAAAGCAAATTGGAGGAGAGAGAAGAAAACTAGTTGGGGAAGAAGTTGGGGATCAAACCGTTAAGACAAAACTAAGCAACCTTCACTAAAATAGTCATATCTCTTTGCACACTTAGAATTTATATGTGAGGCTCCCACCATTGGAAAGTAGACTTCCAGGGCTTCAATTTAGACTCAAGAATGACCTAAAACCGAGTCCGGATGAAGAAGATATGTCCGTTTGAAGTCAAGCCTGAAGTGCAGTCATTGAGACCCAGCCGGGTCTATGTATAACCGGTCGTGCTTCATCGAGGCCCGGCCAGGCCTCGATGAAAACTTTCCTGAGCTCTTCTTTAGGCCCGGCTGTGTGTTTTGAGGGCCGGCTGTGTGTTTGGAGGCCCGGTCGGGCCTCAATGGCGTCAGACAGACAGTTGGCGGGAATTGAACAAATATCTTTGTTTGAAGATATTTTGGACCTTTTTGGCTCAAACTCTATAAATAGAACCTCTTCCTTCAGAATTCAAGGTTAGAAAATTTTCTAAAAGGCTTTGAGAGCTAAAACCATTTCCCTTACTCCTTTGATCTTCAAACTCTTTTTGAACTATACATACACAATACATAAACCATTGGAGCTTGTTCTTGGAGCTTTTTGCTAGAGTTTCAAACTAAGTTTCATAAACTTGAGGGTGCTTTGGAATCAAGCTTGTTTAACCAAAGCTTTCTCTCATCAAGAGGTATAAGTTTGTCATCTTTTTCCTTGCTTTCATTTCCATCTTTTTCTATCTTTCTCTTGTGTTTATACACTATTTTGGGTCCATTCCAAGTGCTGAAACTTGGGGTTAAAGGGCTACCAAAGGTAGAGAGGTTTAACAACCTTTCTTGCACCTTCTCCCATAGTTCATACCCATTGTTTTCCACTCTTTTCTTTGGTTTACATGCTGATTTTTAGAGTTTAAAAAGACTGAAAAATGTGATTTAAAGGTTCCAAAAGTGGAGGGATTAGCCACCCCTCCTTAGTCTTGCTTACTAGTTTTGTACCTCCTTGTTCTTCCTATCTTTTGGTGCTCTTTTAACATGATTTTAGCCACTGTTTTGAGGCTATTTTTTGGACTATTTTTGGACTATTTTCAGAGGCTAAAATATGTCTTAGAAGTCCCAAAAGTGGAGGGGTTAGCCACCCCTCCTTAGCTTTGTTTACTAGCTTTGTGCCTCCTTACTTTTGGCTTTTTTTGTGCTCTTTTAACATCATTTTAGCTATTGTTTTTCGCATGTTTAGGGGCTGTTTTAGGACTGTCTTAGCCTTTAAAATTGTTTCATGCTTTGATTAGTTTGCTTGTTGTCTCATATGTTCATATACATAGCTCATTGCATGTTTGTTCTAGTTTTCTTTAAGTAATTTCCTTATTTCATAACCTTGTTATAATAATCAACTTGCCACTCATTTCTTTCATTTGAGAGTTGTTTCAAATGGTTGATGGTTATTCAATACATGAACTAGAGTTTTGCGCTGAATGGTTTAATTTCTATGGAGATTTATTGTCAACGGTGTAATCTCTTTTTCATGTTGAGAATTACTTCCCATTTGACGCTTCTCTCATTTTAAAGGACTTAATCACTATAGACAAATGGACTAATGAATGGCAATGACTAAACAAATTGATTTAAAATTGGATCAACGCACATAAAGAAAGTGGTTGGAATTGCTTGAACTTGGCCGGACGTTATGCCAAGTTCCTTGTGTCAAGAGTTGTCACATGGTAATCCATGGCATTTTGATGATTCTTGAAGCGTCGTAACCTCCCTCTTTGAGTTTATTCCATGACAAAAGGGAGGGGTGGTCCATTTGCATTACATTTTATTGACTTTTGTTCAAAATTGAATCCGAGATCATCAAGTGATCATATTGCTCATTGATGGTTTTGGAATCAATTCCAACCCACTCTCGAGGATTGCCTATGACAGAGAAGAAATAAAGGACAAACAGAGCTTGAAAATGCTCTATCTGCACTGATTTCCCCTCAGAGCACAGAAACAGAGCTTTGCACCAAATTGATGCACGACCGACCATCTGTATACCCGGCCGACCATCAGTGATGCGACCCTTGGTGAGTAGCCAATAGTGCAGTTTTGTAGAAATAGAGGTAGTGGCTGAAGGTGAAACAGAGTTGGTCTGGGCAGACAGAGTAGTTTTTAGGCGATGCACATGTAACTTTCATCCATCTTCCATTGTGTCCTTATCAATTGCAATTAATTATTTCATTAGTGTTATTAGTTGTGAATAAATTGTGTTGTAATATTTAATTAGCCTAATTAGTTGTAGCTAATTAGTTTGTGTTGTAATATTTAATTAGCTTAGCCTAGTTAAATTCTTAATTTATTAGCTTAGATAGTTAGTTAATTATTCATTTCAAGTGTTATAATAAATTAGTTAATTAGTTTAGCTGTTTATTCAAGTTTTGTAATAATTAGCTTAATTGGTTTAGATTAGCTTGGTTAGCTAGATTATTCATTCGGACTCTCCTTCGTGAGAGCGTAATGTAATAATGTGTATGTCTTCCAACCTCGCATCTTTCTCCCTTTTATTTACCCGCTTTTGATGGTTATTTTAGGGACATGTTTCAATTAGCATACCTTATGCTTTATGTTTGCATCCATTCATTCATATTGTATGCACCGAGGCACGGCGCATCATTCAAACTGCATTGTCGTTTCAATACTTCGATGAATACATGTTTAAAACACATGCTCTCAAATTGTTGCAAATTCCATCTTAGTATTCGAGCCTATTAATTGCATATTGCATGTGTTGCATTAGGTATCTAACATAGTTAGGAATCATATATATTTTTCTAACTCATATCTTCTTAGCTTGGAGTACTAGGTGAGTTTTTATGTTTTAGCATATTTGCATGATTGTGAATGTTGCTATGACTAGCATGCTTACCATGAGGCTGAATGCTTAAATGCTAAACTGCTTGAATGCCTGTGGATGAAGACTTGTTGTTTGAATTAGAACAATTCAACAAATGTATATTTTAAGCCCACTTTGTAGAGTGGCAAATCATGTTTTAAG